AAAATAAAGATTGAACTAATTATTTTACTATTAACTTTTAAGTATAAATTTAGGACTATTTTATTTTAGAGTCACGTGGTTTATTTGATTTTCATTTTACAATGGGAGATGACAAGATAATACAATACTAAAAACTATTTTTTCTTAAGTTCAAGAATTAATATAGACATTTTATAAATTTAAATTTAAGAACCAAGAAGATTATTCTTTTTTAAGAAAATATTTAAAAACTCAAATAGAGCCAAGCAAGAGATCAAAATAATATATATTTAATTTTCATGTGCTAGAATAGATTCAAACAATATTTTTAATTTCCCAGAAATAAGTTATTTGCAAACATGACCCCACAGGTTAAAAATTTTAGGGAAAAAAAAAAACAGGAAAGAGAGAATTTTTGGATAATAAAAGAATGCTAAAGAGAAAGTTTGGTGAGGGTATTATTGTCTTTTCAACAACACAAATTAGAGCCAAGAATCAAGTTAATTAAATAATTGCATTAATCAAAATCAAAATTTATTATTATTATTATTTTTTTTTGAGAAAAATCAAAATCAAATTTTAAAAACCACCTTTTCTACATAAATCACAATTCACAAATTATATTTCACATTCTCCACTGTTGAACTTTTCCTTTAACAGGTTTCCTAAAAAAGAAAAACAAAACTTTTCCTTTAACAGGGATTTTCTTTTTTTTACTTAAAAATAAATATTCTTAGGTGTGAAAATGATCAATAAAATTGGAAATTTTACACGATGACAAATATCTAGCTAGGTTAGGTGTGAAGATGTGAATACACTTATCATACGTATGTTTATTCATGAAAAATGGACTAATATGAATGACCTTGTCAAGATGACTCAATAATTTTAAAAGTAAATGCAAATGTCTCAATCTTATTAAGTATTTATTGCCTATCAGGGAGGGTTCGACGTGATAGCGTGATTAATCAATATCTCTATTAAATTGTAAAAAAATAATTGAAAAAATATAGAAAATGTTGACAAAGGTAAAACGTTATTTACTAATTCATATAACTATTTATGAAATTATCATTTTTTTTAATTTATCAGAAATATCCATGAACATTTATATTTTATTGATATTTCTATCGATCTTTCCATAAAATTGAGATCCACGCTATTTAAATCCATCGTTACAGTTTTATTTTAAAAAGGTAAATTGAATTTATCACTAATTTAGAATACCTTTGAAATCTTACTTAGTTTTTCTTTAGTTCAACTTTTAATATTAAGGAAGGTATTATGGACGATGGAATCAACCTATCACATGACCTTATTGCCTAGAAAGACCAAACATGATTTACCCTCGATTGACTCGACAAAATCCTTATTGCCTAGAAAGACCAAACATGATTTACCCTCGATTGACTCGACAAAATCCCAATTTTGCATAGACCGTAAGCATATAGATTCTATAGGCATAAAATCAGGATAATATTTTCCAAAATTCTCTATAAAATGCAAGATCCAGCGTAATTGTTACTAAGTTCAGTCTGACATCATCTCACATCAAGTACTAAATTAAGTTTCAACTAACCCGACCTTCAACTTGGATTTGATACCAACACGTCACCTCATTCAAAATCATGGAATAATGAGCGTCTTATCAAGTAAACTATATATATTGGGACTGATTATAGTTTTTCATACTTATCACAAACACAATTTTAAAAAATTATTATTAAAAATGTTAAAAGTGAACTATATATGATAATAATGTTCTAGGTGGGCAGATGAGAGAGAGAATGCATCTTTAACCCATTAGGATGCAACATGTCCACTAGGATGCAACATTTGTGCAACCATAATTAATAATTGTTTAACCTTATATATATAGAAATATATACATATATACATTATAAATAATAATACTAATGATAATTGCTATAGGTGGACCAAACACACCATGTTGACATTTAAATCTGAATTTGTTGACTCAAATTTTAAATATATATATATGAGAAAAAAAGAAAGAATATCTACTATAGGACTGGTATTTGAGGAACACATCAGTTAAATGTCGTGTTTGGAAACAAATGAGACATTGTTGTTCTTGTAGTTCTCAAATTAATGAAGTGACCCGAGGGAAGGAAGTTTTGATTCCTCTCGTTAAATCAAGTCTTCACAACGTATCCTATTACTAAAAAGCACCCAAAAAAGTTGAAGAAACGATCTCAAAGATACAACTACAGTTCACTAGTAAGCATTGGAAGCAGGTGCTTGAATGACTCTTTGAACGGAATGACCTAATACAAAAACTAGTAGCCATAAAAACTGACAAGATGGGAATCAAAGAAAATTGAGCTAAATGTGATAAGTCTGTTCATTTTACCATAAATGTAAAAAGAAGGTAAGAAAATTGATAGTATAATTAAGTAAGTATATAAAGTTCATCGACTACGATTAAAACCTAAATCTAGAAATTAAAATTTCTAACTTTAGCATGGTTTCAACTGGTTCAATCAAAAGATTAGAAGTTTAAATCTTCATCCTCATGTGTTTTTTACATCTATAAAATAAAATAACTTTGACTAATATCTTTCAATTTTCAAGTGAGATAAATACTTTAATTTTTAATATATTATCATTAAATATCAAATTCTAGTGAACATTCAACAAAAACTTACTAATTTAAATGTGCCCAGCTCGTAAAGACATGTTAACATAAATGGGCCTGTAACCACTGGTTACCGGGCCTTGGTAATGAACTCGGCCCCATTTAATCTAACTAAAGAGGCTTTTTATTTGGGATAACAACGGACCATTTAAAATAGTCCATTTCAAAAGATGGTCAAACAACTCTAAATTTTGAATAATGACCAACGTAAAAATAGAAAAATCTCTATTAATTTTTTAGTATAAATTGTAGGATAATTCAAATATTTTCAAAATATTACCTAACTCAAATATTTTCCCAATCAATTTTCAAATAATTATACTAACGAATCTATAAAAAAGTATAATTCATTAAACAATAAAATAATTATCGAAAATGATACTAAAAATCTTAAAGAATATATAATAAACGTCAATAAAAACAAAATGTAATTAGAAACACAAATATAGTTAGAAACAGAAATACTGAAACCCAAAACAAATAGATGAACATGGAACAGAGGAACAAATAACAAATACGGCGAACAGGAACAAATAACAAATACGGCGAACAGGAACAAATAACAAATACGGCGAACAGGAACAAATAACAAATACGGCGAACAGAGGAACAAATAACAAATATGGCGAACAGAGGAACAAATAACAAATACAGGACGAACAGATGAACAAATAACAAATACAGCGAACAAAGGGACGACAAATAACAAATACGGCGAACAGAGAACAAATAACAAATACGACGAACAGAGAACAAATAACAAATACGACGAACAGATGATCAAATAACAAATACGAAAAAAAATATAAAAAGTACTCTACCTACGCAATCTGTAGAAACTCAACATATAGGCTTCTTTCTCCTCCGCTACCCACCGCTCCACTTGCAACAAGCTCTATCACTCACCCCGTTGCCCCACCGTTGTTCCCTCGACTAATAAGGTCTTCTTTCTTCCTTGTTGAATTTCTATTGTCTCCCTTACTCCCCTCTCCCCGRCTTTGATAGTCTCTCATCATGATTTTCGATGTCTCCAGTGAATTTTGTCCCACGTATATATTAAAGAATAATGGTTAAAAAAAAACTAGAATCAATGTGGGATAGAATCTAGGAAAGATATGGAAGTTATGATATTTAATTTTAAAAATAATAATCAAATAAAAAGGGTAGAAATGTCAAAATCAAACCTAATACGAATTGACATTTTTCATTATCAAATATCAATTAGCCATTTTTCAGATTGTAATCCTAGCCAATCGCATCTTTCTCGTAACAGAACAGCAAGAAAAGACTTTGACTACTTGCTTCGGACTCTTAAAATCTTGAGAGCAAACTTCATTTAGGAGAATTAATATTGGAGGGTGTGAATCTGATCCGTTGTTGTTCTGTACTTGGTTCGGCCTCCTTTCGATTTTAATCCTAGTTAGGAAAATAGAACGAGTCCAAATCAATGGTCATCAATGAATCATTTTTTATGGACGTTGCACATAACACACATCAAATCGATTCAAGGCTTAGCACTAATGGAAGTAGCCATATTCTCCTAATAGCGAAGGAAAATGCGATACATAACAACAGTATTAGTAATTGAGATTGTTGTTATAATTAACATATAGGTTTTAACTTTGTAATCTAAAACATTTTAAAAATGATTAACCATATTTTAAAGATTGTCAATGCCTTTATTATTTTGAGTCTTGGGCAGTGTTTAAAGAGATTCCTTCCCCTATATAATCCCTTCTTTCTTTTTTTTTTTTTCTCTTTTATCTCTTTTTCTCACTTTCTTCTTCTGCCCAATGACCATATCATAAAAGAGCCTACATCAGATTCTCAACACATTAACCCAAAAAAAAAAAAGGTTCAATTTTTTAATCCAAATTAAACCCTCCCTCTTCAATTTTGAATCAATCATGAGTCACATATGCTTTGAAGATTGGGTAAAAAAAAAAGGTAAAATACTGGCTGCTTAACAATCTTTGTCCTCACAACTCACTATTTTATTGAAGTTCATGTTTTTAAGTTTGTTTTTTAGTTGTCAAATATTTAATCTCAAATGAATTACTCCTATATACATATATTTAATTAAATTTTTTATTTATTTTGAGTATACGGATCCATTCTAGAAAATCAAAATTTTCACTTTGAATTCTGAACCTCAACATCATGCTACTCATGGTCTCTCTCTCAAAAAGTGAATGAGTGAATGGGCTCTTTTTCTTAATAGTAAAGGCTCCAAAATGGGGAATTCAAAGGGTACCACCAAAATAAAATAAAATAAAAGAAAAGAAAAAAGCAAGAGAGAGAGAGAGAGAAGAAAAGGCTATAGGACTAAAAAAACAAGCACAAATCAAAGGCCCCCAAAACACAAAACCCAAAAGAAACAAAGAGAGAAGGGTGTGTGAGACCCTCAAGTTCCCCAAAAGAACCAAAAAAAAAAAAAACAGAAAAAATTGATCATCATATGATCATGAGAAGAAGTTCAAATCTTCAATTTCACTCCTCAAATTACAAAACCCTCCTCTCCTCCTCCCTCTTTTTCCTCCTCTTTTTGAGCAACAATTCCTCCTCCTCCTCCTCCTCCATCTTCTCCCATGGCTTCCCCATCAAAGCCCATGTCTTCATCTATGCAGGCTGTTCCAATGAAAAATTCCAACCCAATTCCCCCTTTGAGTCAAATTACAATTCTCTCCTCTCCTCCCTTGTTTCCTCATCTTCCCAAATGACCTACAACTCCTTTGCCATTGGAAATGACTCCTCCACAATCTCCCCTCCTCCTGAGGCTGCCATTTTTGGGCTCTACCAATGCAGAGGGGACTTAGCCACAGCTGACTGCTCAAAGTGCATCAAAATTGCTGCCACCCAAATCCACTTGGCCTGCCCTTCTTCCTATGGGGCATCCCTTCAATTGGAGGGCTGCTTTCTGAGGTATGAGCACTTTGATTTCTTGGGCAAGTTGGACACCAGTGTGAGGTTCAGGAAGTGCAGCCCGAGCTCGAGCAACGACGTCGAGTTCTTTCGGCGCCGGGACGACGTGCTCGCCGATATGCAGGCCGGGGCCGGGGCCGGGGCGGGCTTTCGGGTTAGTAGTTCAGGGCTGGTTCAGGGGTTTGCTCAGTGTTTAGGGGATTTGAGTGCACAGGATTGTGGCTCTTGCCTTGGTGATGCTGTTGGGAAGTTGAAGAGTTTGTGTGGATCTGCTGGTGCTGCTGATGCCTTCTTGGGACAGTGCTATGCTCGCTATTGGGCTTCTGGGTTTTACCCTAATTCTTCTGGTAAGCAAAAAACTATAACCAAAGTACCCTAATTTCTCTTTTCTCTCTCTGTCTTTTTTTCTTGCTTTCCAAAACCCTAGTTCTCTACTCGCATGAGCAAATTACTGCTATATTATTAGTGATCTTTTTTTCGTTGTCATAAGACTAATGGGGGATGGAGAGAGGTCTTTTTTTGGGGTGTTTGGCTCACGAGTTAGATTTGTTTAACCCGAGTCGAAAAGTAGTAAAGTCTGTCTTTTGGTACGGGTTAATCAAATAACTTATTATCCTAATATTACAAATTAGGCTTGTCTTTTTAGTTTTATTTTGTCGTCAACTTAATGGTAAGTATTTTTTTGGAGAGGGTTTGGCTCGTGGGTTAGATTAGTGTTAAGAAGTTGAGTAATTTATCTATGTTTGTAAGTTCGGTTATTTCAGATTAATTATAGATTTGTTGGTCTTTTGAGCTAGATAAACCTATATGTTAAATGTGTTTATGAAACTCGTACTAATTTTTAAAATCAAAAACTTATAAATCAGCAAACACACAATTACCTAATTCTTCATAAAATCCCGAACGTAGATGACACAAATCTAGATGAGTTTGAAAAACCAAAAACTAAAAACAAAATTAGGGTTCGTTAAGTTTTTCTTTTTGGGTTCAAACAACATTTATACCTTTCATTTCAAAGTGGTCATGTCTATAAAGATGACAATAATGTTCTAGAGGGGTTAAAAAGAGTTCAAAGTTTACAAGTTAAGGGACAACAAGGTAATTCTTTTAATAAAGTAAAGCATTTAGGGTATTTCCCACTTTAATTTGCTTTCTTTTTAGGCATTTTCCATTGCTGCTGTTCCCCTACTTATTCCTACTAACCTCTACTTTTTTTTTCTTCTTTATATGTTACTTTTTCACTACTAAAACACTATTTTAAAAAGTTTATTTTTTCTATGTTCTCTCTTAATTCCAAATCTTGATAAAACTATTGGGTTGATTAAAAAAAAAGTGCCTTTTGCACTATTGGATTTATAAATCATTAGGTCAATAATATGCCACTTTAGCAATGGTTAATTACTTAATCATTTAGCCAATTTCCATTCTAATGATATCTCCTCCATATTTTGGCTCCAAAAAGCTCCCACTTACAACAAAAAGGTGTCACAAACCAAGCAAAAAGGCAAAGTTGGGATTTAGGAACCATCCTCTCAATATTCCATTAAGTGAAAGATCTGGATCCACATTTGATAACGTTTTCGTTTCTTGTTTTTTAATAGAGAAAAGTAACGGAAATGGCGAATTCTCTTTTTATTTTCTATACTTGTAATTTGAGAACGTTTTTAAACACGAAAAAATAATGAACAATTACCGAACTCGCACATGTTGCTCAAACCACGAACGTTAGCGTTTTCCAACCATATATACCTCAAAGTAGTGTTCTTTTAGTGGGGGAACTTTTCCTTTTTGCACACCAATTCTAAGCCACAAAGTTTTTAAAAAAGGACCACATTTGCTTTGTATACATTCAGATGCACTCTGATCTCTACCTCTCAACTTAAAATTACAATTTCACTTCACAAAAAGCATAAATTCTCATTCCATTTTCTTTTGGTTTGTTTGGGCATTTAGATTCTCCGAGCGACGACCAAGCCGGGAAGACCGTCGCGATCATCATCGGTGTCGTCGCCGCTCTAGCCATCCTTGTCGTTCTCCTCTCAGTCTGCAGAAGAGCAATGGGTACGTAAAATCAATACTCTCTCGAGCTCATGCCAGGTCGCAAATAGGTTTTTTAGACTAAATATATGTTTTAGTCCCCAGTGGTCGAGTGTTTTTTCAATCTAGTGATCTCTATTGTTTAAAAAGTTTCAATTCCGTCTCTTACATATTGTCAACATTTTTCAATTGTATCATATTCGTTGTGAATATTAAGATTGACTGATAAAAGCTTATAACATCATTACGATAGTGAGATTGACATAAATATACAGGAGAGGAATTAAGCTACCTTTGAGAGAAAAAAAGGTCGAAATTTCTGAGGAATCAGAAACTTTCTTCTAAGTTTCTTCTCTTAGAGATAGTCTAATTTCTCCTCTAATTTTATGTATTAACTCACTAATTACTTCTTACCATGTAAACTCATCAACAGTCAATTTTAACCTTCACCAACGAAAATGATATAACTGAAAAATGTTAAGACGTACGTAAATGACGGAATTGGAACTTCTTAAACAACATAAACTAAATTAAAAGAAAAAAAACACTCAATTAACATTGGTGGAAACATATATTTAGCTTTCTTTTCTCTAATTTATTATAGTTTTATAAGTTATGGTTGTTTGTGAAATGCAGCAAGCTAAGAGGAAGAGAGAGAGAGAGGGAGAGAGAATTGTGATCTTTTGCTTTAATGGAGAATATAATGAAGAGAGAGAAATGAAAGTTTCCCACAAAATGTTTTGTTGAAATATTCTTGTGATGACACTCTTATCCTCAACCCTTTTGGGATTGTTTTTTTTTTCTCAATTTTTAAAT